AAGAAGTTGCATTGTCTTGTGCCTGCACCAGTGATAGAACTACAGCAATCACAGTAATGGTAGTCAGATGTGTCCACCCAGATTTAATGGGATGCATACTCAGATATCAAAATTTCAAATAGTTCTATAGTGGGGACACCTGGTGGTTGAATATGGCCTAAATGTGGGACAGTGATATGGAAAAGTGGAATTTCTGAAGTGCTAAGCAGCAAAATTTCCATTTTTTTACATGTTAATAGAAGAGTATATTTAGATATGAGCACGTAATTTACTCCTATATATTCTTTGAAGTAATGTCATGCAAAAAAGTTCTTATCTAATCAAAATAAAGTCTATCAATCTAAGGCAAGTTTTAATGTGAGGAAGAAGCATGAATTTATTTTCTGCTACTCTTGTAAGACCTTACTTCCAGGATCATTTCTTGTATAAAAAGTAAGATAAATTTACCAGCCTCATAAAGGGGCTGGAGATGACAAGCTGTGGAGTTGCCTGTGTTAGCCGTAGACCCAACCAACTTTTATTTTATTTTTTATTTTTTACCTAATGTTTCCCAGATGACTTATGCCTGGAATACTGGAGATTTAGCTTAAAAAGAGCACAGTCCCTAAGTTTCCAATGAGCTAAGTTGATTAAAGCATTCACTGAAAGGGAAATCAAAGATTTGAATGATTCCATATTCTCATAGACCCATTGTTGTTTGTTCAACGGCTATGAGCCAAAATATGCAACCCTGGACACGTCAACAATGCACATCTTTGTATCTGAGCCAGTGTGTGGCTGGCACCATGCATCCCTATGTTGAGAAACAACTTGAGAGTGCCCTTTTCTTGGCTTCTTTGTAGAAAAATGCTTACCCATTATTTACTGCCTTGGCATTTCAAGTTCTCCCTACTACCGTACCAGTTAAAAAGTAGGTTGGGAAATGGGTTAGAACTCAGTTCAAATCTCTGCTCCTTTAGTCAATCTTCTGCAATTTGAGACAATAACTTAAACTTGTCAAGTCTCACTTTCCTGTAAAGTAAAAAGAAGATATCAATACCTATGTCAAAAGGTTACTGTGAGAATTTGCTAAGATGATGTATGCAACATGCATAGCACTGTACCTGACAGAAGATAGGCATTCAGTAACTCTTCGCTGAATGAATATTTTCAGCCACAAATACTCTGTGTGAACAGTGTGTAAAGAGAAGCCCCACAGAGAAGCAAATGGCATTAGGTATGAGATCCAGGTGAATTCATTTTATACAGCTGCCCTTTCAAAAGGCAGTCTGGTTCTAATCAAACCAGAAGACAACAAATGCAGAAAAATCCTAGTGCAATGTTTCTTAATTTTATGTGCAGACAAATCACCTGGGGTTCTTTTCTAAATGCAGGTTATGATTCAGTGAGTGGGATCTGAGAAGCTGCATTTCCAGCAAACTCTCCAGGTGATGCCTATGCTGCTTGTCCGCTAAATACACTTTAGCAAGGACCTAGAGCACTTGAATGCATGACAATTTAAGAAATACTGTACTAGGGCGCGGTGGCTCACGCCTGTAATCCTAGCACTCTGGGAGGCCGAGGTGGGTGGATCCCTCAAGGTCAGGAGTTCGAGACCAGCCTGAGCAAGAGCGAGACCCCGTCTCTACTAAAAAATGGAAAGAAATAATCTGGACAACTAAAAATATATATAGAGAGAAAAAATTAGCCGGGCATGGTGGCGCATGCCTGTAGTCCCAGCTACTTGGGAGGCCGAGGCAGAAGGATTGCTTGAGCCCAGGAGTTCGAGGTTGCTGTGAGCTAGGCTGATGCCATGGCACTCACTCTAGCCCGGGCAACAAAGCGAGACTCTGTCTCAAAAAAAAAAGAAATACTGTACTTAGATCCATATTTGTCTAGACCAGCATTCTGTTTTCTAGCACATTTTAAAATTAATTAATTTATTTAACAAAAAATTATTTATTGCTTACTATTAATATATGTCAGGCAGTGTTCTAGGTTGTAAGTACGAAGTAATGAACAAGACAAATAAGGACCACACCCTCATTTAGTCTAGTGGTAGGGCCAGACAATAAACATGTAAATAACTAATTAAAATGGGTTCTAGTGGTGATTAAATCTATAACAAAAATAAACTGAAGTTACTGGGAGAGTGTGTGTGGTTAATGAAGGCCTCCTCTAGGAAGGAGCAAACTGAACTGAAACCTGAATGTGAAGAAACAGTCTGTTGTGTAAAGATCTGAAATTTCCATACCAAGTGAGGAGAAAGTGCAAAACCCCTGAGGCAACAATGAACTTGGTTTGTAGGAGGAAAGGGAGAAAGGCCATTGTGGCTAGAACATAAAGCTTCAATGTGAGTGTGAGACAGTGATTAGAGGTAATGAGGGACAAGATCACAGCTGCCAGAGTTAGGGAGAGTGCAGAAACCACTCTGAAACCATCAGGGAAATCTCAGAAGTTGGATCCGAGGCGGTTCTTAACAGCTCCACACAAGATTAAGGTATATGCTATCTGGGTTGAAAGAATGTGCCTATAGGAAAATACATCTGGCTAAGCAGAATAAAATGAATGAAAAAGAGCTAAAATAATGGATAGGACACAAGTTGAAAAACAAGAGGAACTTAAAATCTAAGAAAAGTCAAAATTGCACATCGCTTTGGTTTCCTCTGCAACAAAGAGAAATAAATCACTTTTGCAGGCAAGCTAATCTAATAGCACACTTGTAGCAAACTCTTCATT